TTTTTTTTTTTTTTTTTTTTTTTGATGTATAAAAGAAAAGCTGCTATAGCATACGCATATGATACATATCGTGTATATCGTGTCCACAGATTTTATTGAAGAATTTTTTTTAACTATATACACCCTAACGTAGACAATAGTATTAATGGACAATGGTCACGGCCGCCGTAAGTGCATGCTTGTTTCATGTTTTTATCGGCTGTTACGTTAGGAGACTCTGACACATGGATTAACATTCTTAATACGTTTCCTCGGACGTTCTCACTGCCGTCTCATGAAAGAAGCATGACTCCTCGTACGACCAGGGGCAGTAATAATTGTATATCTATATTACACGCACGTTAATGCTACAATACACGACATACCCTATACAGGTAAAAACCCGTGAGCACATCCGAGATGAACGATCCCGACAGGTAGAATTATTCATATTGGATAACGCGAATCCAAATTCCTTTCTTTTTCCTTTTTTTTTTTTTTTTTTTTTTTTTTTTTTTTTTTTTTTTTTTTTTTTTTTTTTTTTTTTTATTTTTATTTTTTTACTGCCTGTTCGATGAGCGTCGTTCTCGTTTACGAACTCTCAGGTATGGTGAAGGCACTTTCGCTCTATCGATTCATATCTCTTACACGAAGAACTTTCGAGACTTACGACATTTTGCGTCTCGCATTGGATACGTTTCGAAGCGTTGGATACTACACTCGGGTGGCAAATTGATAAGGAACCTCAATCTCTCTGAAGCACTGGGTAGCGCTAACGGATCAGCTATCTCGAAGAAGTACATAAAATCCTCAGAGTATTACAGAACATGCTGGGACTGTTTACGGAGTCACAGAGGTATAGATACCATAAAAGCCCTTTGAAAGGAGTCGAGAAGAATGCCGAGTGACACGAAGATATATGTCAAACAATAGAATTTTTAGTTCAACGAAAGGAATTATCGTTAGAAATTGTTCCGCATTAATGCTTCTGCGTCTCCCCTGTTTTTTTGGCTTTTAATGGCGAAAGAAACGACGTTCTGAAGAATTTATCTAACTGCTAGAACAATGACGATTACCTTTCCTTCCCTCCTCTCTTTTATTAGCTATCGTAGTAATAATAAATTCAATCACAATAATATTATTCGCAACAAATACTGTACAAAAACGTACAATCCTCCGTAACCCTCGTGAAAACACATACTCCGACTGATCGTTAATGGTAGCCACCATCCATTTTATGAAGATGATCGGTTTTAAATTCATTTTATCTCTCTTTTTCTTTTAACAGACAACGCTACCATCACCAACGCCACCACCACCACCACGCTGCCACCACCATCGTCATTGCCGTAGTCATCAACGCATATTCGGTAAAGAAGATATAATCTCAACCATAAGCGAATTAATTAATTACAGGTGATTCGCCAGCTTCCCGTTTTGCAGTATGGGCGGCGAAACCAATGGCAGGGAAGTCTTTCTTCTCGCATTTGAATTTGATATCTCGTTATTAAAGTTAATCTTGGCACCGGTGCTGCTCGGTTTAGCGACATCAGAAGACGCGTGAACACCCGTGGTGATCCACCGCTCGACTTGAGCCTCGTGTGACTTTTGTAAAACCTTCCTGACATCTCCATTCTCGCCACCTTCCTTCATGATCTCCTGGAGCTTCTGAATCGTCTGATATAAAATCACAGGACTTATTAGTCCGAAATCGAAGAGGCTACACAAATGCAAGACAAAGTTCCGATACAGATTCTTCATGAGTAGCTCCTTCCCTTTGGTTTCTAAGAACATTTGGCAGGCCAGCGGTATCTGGCAGTCTCCTACATAACCGTGCTTCATTACGTGGAGATTCCACATCTTCATTAATTCCTTTTCGCCCTCGTTCACATCCGTAAAGTCATCTATCATCATCATCGTCTTTGTTTGCAACCATTTCGGATCGTTCTCACCCTCCGAATCAATGTCCATCTCCTTCGGGTAGATCGGCAAACACGTCACAGTATGATGATACAACCTTATGTGAGAAGAAAGAAAACCCAATAATATTTTCAATGATTATAGAGAATCGAAGCAAAGATAGAGTAAAAAACAAAAAGCAATAGACACGCCTAGCATTACCTATTGTGCCCGGTAATATAAGGCCGCTGATTCTCAAACTCGTTCTCGTCCAGCTCGAGAAACTCCGAAAGACTCGGTTTGGTTCTCTTTGGCCGACATACCAGGATGTTCGTTACGCTCGTACGTCTGGTGGGTCCTGTGCGCGAGAACGCTACTCCGGATGGCTGGGAAATCAATTCGTGAGGACTGCCGGCGTACGAGCCGTCATAACACTCGTTTATAGCCACGTCTATCCGAGCTCCTTGTGGAATCGGCTAAGATATACATAATACGTGTTACATAAACATGATACGGATGGCACAGGTAAATCGCGAATACATACCACATAGGTAAAGGTGAATCGCGAGTGACAGAGCTTAAGGTGTTTTAGCAATGAATATAGTTTGCCACAATCTAAAGAGCACCAAGGACAGTGAAGATCCTCGCAAGCTTCCGTCTGCTGGCGACTATTGTTATTGTATAAAAATTGATAAACAATTTGTTGATTATCCGTCGAAGTGTCCATTTTGTCGGTGGACACTGAGAGCTTCGACGGCGTCAATGGACTAGGAGTTGGCAGTGTTGTGTTGTTATTATTATTGTTGTTGTTGTTGTTGTTATTATTATTATTATTGTGATTCACAGGACAACGCTCTACAGCTGCTGAAAAAAGTAACAGAATGTAAAAGCGGCTCACAATCAGTACAGATTCTAAATGAAATTGAAGATTCTTTTTTGTCTTATTTAAATTTACCGTTTCCTGGTCGATTTTCTTTATTGTCACCATTGGGCAGTGGATGAATCGGGGCTGGTCTGTCTACCAGACCGCAGCTGGGTTCCATGGTCCAGCTGAGCCTAAATTTTAACGTCGGGCCACGACTGAACACCTCGAATGGACCGCACTCCTTAATGTCGGAGATCGACTCCCAGGAGCTGTGTTTCTTGGGACTCGATCTGACATTAGTTTGTACTTCCTGCAAGCCTAATTCGTAATCGCCGTCCGTCAACACACAACGATTATGCTTGTCGTATACTACGAGCTCCGAGCCATATAACTTGACTTCTTCAGCTCCAGCCTTTATGGGACCGGTGGCTGACTTGCGTCGTTTTTGAGCTGGCTCTGTAACAATTATATTATTCAAATAAATCAGCATTATTATTGATGCAACATTATCGTTATTGATTTTAACAATTTGTCGATATTCACCATCTAAATCACAGTTATTCATAAGGCAGCCATTGTTGGACATACAGTACACTCTGAGCAACAGCATATACGTTTTCGCTACATGACCGTTATTTAGACTAAAAGATTCGTTGGGTATGGAAATGGTGGGTGCTTTTGGCGGTGGTTGATTTTCTGAAGGATTTATTGGAACTTCACTTGTACCGACAGATACCTGTTCAAATATTTAAACAATGGAATTAATTTTTTTCGATATTTCGACACTCATCGTTCAATTGGTTAATAATTTGCAAGTGTACCTGCATTATTGGAGAGCTAACGTCTTTCCGTTTCTTATGACATATCTTTAGTAGCAGTGTTTCAACCTTCACCGGATCTTGAGATGTCTCAACTGAAATAGAAAGCATTATGAGATTCAGACTATTGGGATAAATTTACAATTCATGAGCAGCAGCGATATACATTTTTCCGAAATAATATTTTTCTCTTATCACTTGTGCTTCGCCTCTGCTGCTACCCTTACAATTTTCCTTATTCATTAATAAATACCTTTCTTATCATAGAATCCCAGAAAAGTAAGTGTCATATAACCACGTACTCCAGGATTCTCCTCCTGATTGTTTTTGGACATCAACCTTTCCAAGATCGTATCGATTCTAAATCCTCGTCGAGACTTGTGACTTCTGGACATACGTTGCTTCATGTAAGATAAGTTTCTGTACAGAAATATCGGCTGGAAGTAAAATATCAAGATCATACTAATGATCTGTCGATCACTCCAGCAATGCTGAAAGATTCTGAAAGACCGGAAGGACTTTCCTCAAGTTTTTCTTTTTATTCCCAAACCCGAGATTGTGTCCCTTTGAAGAAAGTATTATACATACCGTACAAGATGAAGTTTTGAAAAAGAAATTCGTAAGCTGGAGACAATTTTATTGACAAAACATAAAATTAAAGTATCAAGTTGATTACATTATTTGAAGTATCAAGCGGGTTACATTAACTGCTAATATTCAGGTCACAATATTTCCTTCCTCCTATTTTTGCCATCGCCATCGTAAAATTCCAATATAATTTATTTTCCGTCATAACCATATTATCTTATTATAATTTGATCGGTACAACGAGTCATCTTTTCACGTTATTTCCAATTAATATTTTGAGCGTATATATCCAACATTGTAACAAATATTAAAGATAGAGATCGGGTAGATAAGGAAGCGCTATTTAAAGTCATTAACTTACCGAAATTTGGTTTCTTGTACGTAGGAACCGGTAAATTTGTGTGGGCTCTGCAAATAATGATGTGCTCCCATTAATTAAAAATGTGCCAAAGGCACAATATATTTCATATCTATTTTTTTGAAATTTTCTTTTTTTAAAATACAACATTCAAGAAAGATGGGAGTACTTTTAGTTCACACGACAGCCGCTAGATGGCAAACGGGATCATATATTCTTTCAAGTGAAACGAGCATCTAAATGTTTTATAATCCTAAGCAAAACACGAGAGATTTGATCCTTCTGTGATTCAGAACGGGGTGTGATGATATGGTTTTGCTCGTTCTGTTACGAGACGCCTGCGGCCACAATCCTTGTTACGATTATAAGGCAGGCTAAACCGCTCTGATCCCGCTTCTTTCATCTCTAAGTTCATATTCATTTTAGGCAATATACTTCAACAATCTATTAAAAGCTAAAGTTCAAGAATAGATTCTACACGATATCACATAGCGCTAAAACAGCCCACGACGTTCGTTCCATTTTAGAAAAAAATTACAATTGTACCTCCTCAATAAGTAAAGAGGAATAATACATTCCTTGCACAAAATCTTATCTCACCGTGTCAGAGGTTGACGTTGATCTCCAATTGTACAAAAACTCATACAAGAACCAAAGGTAATTAAATCTGTACCGTTTTGCGATGGTGCGAAATAACCGAACAGTAATGTGTCCGAAGTAAACACAGAAAATGTACACATATATATATATATATATACACACACATATACTTGAACTCTAAGAGAAGTATGATTTTCCAATGACCAACAGGAGTTATCCTAGATTTTAATTTATGGCGCTTTCTTGATAATTTTTAAAATAAATTGGACTCAGAATCGTGTAATTGTTAACGCATAATGAATGACTTTTGTGGAAATTATGACAGGTGTCCGCGCGCTGCCGCAGCCGGAAGGAGGGAGGTAAGTGACCCGACGCGCGCTACGGCGCCCAATTCCCCAAAACTCAGGCGATAGGGTTATGTTTTAATTTGTGCGAAACTGAAGCTCCCATCGTATTAATCAGGAGTACCGATGGATGCGTAAGGATCTGTCTCATTTTCGAGGACTGAGACTCATTAGGGTTGGACGACGGAAATTTCCAGGGAAAGGCCAAGAAAAATGCCAAGGGAACTCACTCTCGAAGGCCTGCAAAAACAGCTCGTGGTCCGCCTGGATTTGGTCCATCCGCGGCGCCTTCTGCCCGTCCAGCTCCTTCTCCCGCTTCTTCGGCGGCATTTTCGCGCGGACTCACACGGATTTTCCCACAGAAATACACTCGTAGCACGTGAAAACAGAACGACAACACACGCCCCGCACGAAAACTGCTGCTGCTGCTGCTGCGGCGCTCGGCAGCCAGCGGCCGTAGCGCGTTCTCCACGGAAGAGCTAGTAATATAGATGGCGTATCATCGTATTCTGCTACCATCTAGTGGTTTTGGGCTCGCAACTTAAAGTAAATCTACCTACTTCTTCATGCTTCCTATCCTCTTGACTTTATTTTCCCATGGGGGACGCTAGGAAATTTTCTTTTTTCCTTTTCAGCTTGTTTTGACCGCGTTCCGAAAGTTACTGTGATTATGCTGACATTGTTGCCTCTGTTTAGTTATATCCAGTTATATCGTTTAAAAAAAAAAGACACAGAAGCTTTTTTTTCTCACTTTCGGAACACAATTATTATGTCTCGATTCGGGACGTCCCCGTTTTCTGTGGAACGAATCTTACATGCATTAACATCATACTTACGAGGGAGTACCTTTTACCTTACAATATGAATTAGAAGAAGTTGAAGAATTATTTAACAATTACTCCGATCGAATGTTAAAGCTAAACTTGACTAAGAACAAAATGGACAAGTTACGTTTGGTAAGTATTTTATTCCAGTCTAAAATTATATGAACTTAAGCTTGAATTCAGTATCTATTTTTAACACCTTTAACACCTGATGATCAACTAGTAAAAGTTTGTGTTCTTTAAAGTTTGTAAATAACAGTATTAAAATGATTCAGTATAAGTCAGTCATTTTTTTGAGATGCATAGGCCTGTATTCATAGTCAGCTTTTGTTTTAAACATGATCGTCAGTCACCTACTATGTACTAAAATGGTGTGTTTACAGTTTTAAGACCATGCTTGGTGTCAAGCACCAACTGTGAATACGGGCTATAGATTAACACTATTTTCTTTCACATTGAAACAAAATCAGTTTGATATGAATAGTGTGACATTTTTTTGCAGGAGAATTTACTTTATAAACAAGCTAAACATTTCCAGCAAATTTTTTATGAACTATGCTCAGATTATCACACATTTTATTTTGATGCATTAAACGACGGCATCAAACATTTAAAAAATTTCATTGGATACACCCTCTTTGGATTACATTTATCTACGTATAATCATGAGCAAATACATATCACTGAGAAGCTTTACAATAAGATTGTTGAAAATTCCAATGATAAGGGCACTATTTATTGTGGTCTTATATTCAATGTAGTATATTTTACACAAGCAAGAAGGAATGCTGACAAATACATTTATCCTATACCGGTATTTAAAGTTGGAAACTTTAAGGGAGACAGACATACAATAAAATATGATACAGTACCTCTCAATGTAACATATATTGACATAGGAGGAAGAGTCTACAAGAATTGGCAAGAGTATTTGGCTAAAAACACTTTGAAGAATATGACTATGATTGTGCCTTATGAAGGAATTTACTCAATGAATCCAGTCTTCCCTAGTGGTCGATTTTCCTCGACAGTTTATATTGAGAAAATATTATCACAAACTACCGATGATCCAAATTGTATAATGAACCCCCGTTGGGATACAGATGTGACAGTAAGTGGAGGTGTTAGTATCCTCTTAGGTGGTTGTTGGCAAAACATCGAGATTAGAAATCGTATATCAATATACATAGCAATTGATAATATACCTATACACGGATTGCCATATAAATTTAATCCTCCAACAATCAACGAAAATTACATAAATTATGGAAAGCTCAATGGCACTGATGTATTAAAGTTATCAGAACACATAATGTATATTGGTAACTGCATTATACCGGAACAAGTATTAAAAAATTTACTTATGTATCCTAATGATGATAACATATTATTCGAATATGAGGCTCAACTCAGAGAAATAAGACACACTACCGAACATCAGCATAAGCATAAAGATGCTTTAAATAATGTCAAAGAGAACATTCGAAAGAGATATTTAGTCATACGAGAATTGAAGACAATTAAGACTCGCGAGGAAATGATTTTGGATTCTACAATCTATAGTATCACAGAAATCATAAAACGTGAAGATCCAATTAAATTTATAAAACTCATTCAAGAAAAGGACAAAACCAACGATATAACAGAAGTAGAACCAGCAGGAGAATTGGTGGACGATTCTGTAAAGCCTTATATAGAAAAGGTATTGGAGTGCCTGAGAACTGTTTTTAAATATTTAGATCCAATACCGCCTCTCTTAATGAAAAAGCTCGTCCAATCGATAACAGGTATAAAGCGCTTAGGTGTTGGATATGATTTATTTTGTCTTTACATGACTCTTGTGTCAAGTATTGTTAACAAAGCGCATCCTAACAAGTTAAAGTCTTTAATGGGATCAACGCTAATAGTGGCATTTGACTTTTTTTTCAATTATTTAAAAATATTCTCACCAATTATAACAAAACTACTACCAACATCACTTCCTGGAGCACTTCTTTTAGTTGTAATTAATGTAGTACATTTATACATAATGGATAACATAGATTGTATCGCAGATTATCTTACAGAGAAAATTGCAAAGTATACACAGTGTAAATCAATCCCACTTGCACCGAAATTAATGTATTAATAATTATATGCCTTAGTTGTGTTTATCACATGCGCGAGGAAAAGTATGTCCTTATTGTAACGAAAGTCCTTCCATATTTTATAAATGAAGTATAAAGTATAACAGATAGTGTATTTTTAATTTTGTATGTTGTGATGTTTCCTCTTATAATTCCCCCCCCCATCCTTTCTTGTTTCATACCACTCATTTTCTACGATGGATACGTCAAGAGCCCTACATAAGAATGCATAGCGCACTGTGGATGTGCATAATTGTATCTAAGAGAACTCCTCAAATCCTAAAATTCCTATCGACCTCTCACAGCGACGCCGATAAAGAAAAGAGAAAATAGGACCTTTAAGGAGTTTGGAGCATTTCATGCTAGTCAAATCAGTGCTAAATTTCAATAATCGTTTTTGTAAATTTTATGCATTATGTAACATTGGTTAAGTGTCATTTGTATTATTACATGTGTCCTTAACTTAGAGAAACATTAATGCTGATTGGATTTGCAAAAACAATAACTAATTAACGTTAATTTCCAAGAAGGTATGCTTTCGTTAAGTTTTTTTTCAAGAATAATATATTATTCTTTACCGTTTTAAATGCGGGACCACTTATTCTGTTTCTCGAAAGATGTTATACAAATTTACCGTCTAAATATTGGATGGTACTAACCGTTTGAGAATGACAGCCTGGTGTACTCAGTAAGGAGCCTTGACAGCTTTGTCGAAGGAATCACACCCCCTGATTATAGTTTTGATCAATCAAGACTCTGGTCTTCCAAATTTTCGACGAGTAGGACTCGTCAGACAGAAGTGTCAAGGTACGTTTACTTTTAAATTTATGGAATTAATGGAATGATGTATAAGAATGTTGAATAAAAATAATGAGCAGCATCATATAGAGCTCTCTAAATAGCATTTATTTTTACCTTGTTTTCGAGTCACTTTCCTTTTTAAAAGACTTTGTGCACAATTTTAACGGTGATGGTTACGTTAAATATTGGTATCATGTCCATGCAATACAAATGCTTAAATTCTATTATGCCGTTCTTATTCTAGGCTAATGTGTGGTTTTTTTCGAATTATATTAAGCATTCGGATGTATAATAATAGAACACTAGGTACATACAAAGATTGAATATATTAATATATCTTTCTTTAAAGTAGGGACTGAATATCTTTGAAATATTCCATTGAAAATGGTAAAACACACTCTAAGGAAGCAGATCAGATTCGGAAATCTTAAATATTCACAACTAGAGATCAACGTTACGTGGCTGTATTTCCCTTTAGTGTAATGTTAACGACTATAGCCAATAATTTCGTGAAATATTTCAAACATGTTTTGCGCTCCATTAATCTGACTGTCTAGCTGGTATATTTTTAGCTAGAATAGAATAGTAATAAATACTTAGTCTATCTAATGCCTAAAAGTATGCGCTCAAATGCGATGGATAGAGTGTTTACACTTTGTAACAGATAATATCGACACGCTCTTAATTTCACATTACGCATTATCCTAGCTTATCTTATTATTCATAATTATATAAACATCGATCTCTATTTACACATCGACGCTACGTTACAATCTTCCATTATCATTCTGCCTGAATCGTTTATACATGTTGATTATCGCGTATTCGATACACACACAGTAGAGGGTGGTCATGATGAATGTGGCTTCTTTTTCCTTTCTTTAATTTGCACGAGAACTGAGTGACCAAATTGTTTCTAGTTATCTGAAGAGTACTTAGTCAATCGCTGAACTAAAACAAAAGAATTAAAGATATGGATGGGAAAGGATATCTTAAATATACGTGTTACGTTGACACCAGAGAAAAATTCAATTGAATAAAACCGAAGGGGGATCAATTTTTATTTAAGGAGCATAAATAAAGAAAGAGAGGAAATGATGAAGCGAATAGATCGACTATTCGAACGATAGAACATTATTTACAATTACAGTCGGCTATCATCGATCGCAACCCTCTGCTGCTTAATCGATATTAGGAAGTGTCATTATTAATTAACTCTACGCATTAAGAAATAGTGTCACAGCTATAAACGCTCTAATATTCTTCTCCTATGTACATTGCGTTTACATTTATTTTCCTTCCTTTTTGTTTTTTCAATTTTCTTACCCCTATACAATTTTAGTCACATCTTTTGTCGGTCAGCAGTCGAACGTTCACGGACGATAATATTATCCGGGACGTTTCAATTCTGTACGGCAGGACAAAAAAATAATGGAAAATTTGACAGATCCTAAGACAATTTTGAATTTCGTATCGGCTCGGTTCAGACTTGCGTCTTTGATTCTATTGAGAATCGATCAGGTGCACGAGTTTATGTAATAAAAAAATAATGCAGGAAACGATACGTAAAAGAAAAAATTGTCTGAGAAACAAATACATAATTATTTCTTTGCATTTACCAATATATATTTGCAATACTCATTTGTTCGTTCGTTTGTTTCACGTTGTTTTTTAATTCTTTGGTCTGACGATTCATACTGAAAGATACGAGAATCTCGAATAACCCGTCTCACTCTTTCTTAGAATAGATACATTAATACACATACATTATAGAATTCGGAGTAACATTACCTAGTGACTTATAATTTTCTCGATAGTCGTATATCCCCTCCCTCCACACTATAATATACTCTAAGATAGTATGGCATTAGAAAAGACGTACAGACTCCTTCAAAGACTTTAAAGTAATTTCTTCCTTTTTTACTCTTCCTTTTTCTCATAAATATCCTAATAATACTCATCGCGTGTCGACTGTCCGACTATCAGGATTATCCCGGTACTGCCAATTTTCAATACCTTCCACAAGTATACTCGCTTCATACTCATCGTGTTCTCGTGGCTATTTACTTTTAAATGCGCATTTTCAATTTGAAATAATCGCTGAGTATTTTATAAATTAAGGTTTTTCCATGACTCCAAATAAATGTAAATCATAATCCGCGTACGATACTTGGGCTTAAATTGTGATTCACGATTAATTATATGAGAGCATGTGGCCGAGACTTAAGTCTCATAGACTTGACCGCGTATAGATACAAGTACCGTTTCTCGCTATACTAAAATTAGTGAATAAGTTCATTCTCATAATACTAATAAGTTGCAGTGAAATATTCAATATCACATTTTAACTTCGGTTTATAATTAGAATATACATTCGTCCCCGTATCGATGATCCAATAGATAATGAAAATTTCTAATGTATCGATAGTGAACTTTGACCCGGGTAAATATCGCATGATCTCAAGTTTCCCATGACTTGACGATTCAGGACTTGAGACAATTTATAAATCGCTTATAAACCGCATATCCAGTCGGTATTTTACGTATTATGCAGAGGAACCGCTGTCAGATATTTGACCATTTTAAAACAATCTTCTCATCCCATGAATTCTCCATACGTATATGTTTCGCCACCCCTCCTCCTCCCCTCTCCATTCAAAAAAAGATTGTCACACATTGAATAATCCTGTCATCCAAGAGACATTCTGATCCATCAGGATTCGTTTCGTCTGCTCTGCCTGATGCCTACCGGTTCTTTCGGTAATCAACATCAGCTAAATGGAGTATAATGCTGCAGTATCTTCCAAGAAACGATTCTGCGATATCTATACGTCAAAGTGCATCCTCCGTTATAAGGTCCCTGAGCGACCTATGATCTGGATTCAATTTTTGGAACGCCTTGACCAGACTCTCCTACCGAGACTGGAGACGTTAACCGAGTTGGCAGTACTGGAAACGCTTGTCAGTGAGTTGAGGCTCAGCGAATGTTAGTCCTGCAGCATATGCACGAAACTTATCGGGAACATTCCTCGTCTCTCTGGTGCACGTTCCAGGGCCCCTTCCATCCAATTGTCATCGTCGGTCTGCTCGTTGGTCACTATTATCACTTCGCCTTCTCGGAATGACAACTCGTCCTCGTTGTCAGCCTCGCAGTCGTAGAGCGCACGACAGCGTCTTAATCCGTTTAGATTGGAGGACGTTGGCTGAAGGGAATAAAACAGATACGGCTGTCCCAATAGAGGAAGCGTTAATGGACACGTACAAGTATGATAATTCCATTAAACCAGACAAAAAGACATGAAAGTTTATTTATAAATTCTATTAAAGAAATTTTTATATATTAATTCTGTATAATAATTGCGTTCTTTTAAAGCATTGCTTGAATGTCCATACCTTTTCCCTGGGCTATTAGAATTTATTGGAAATTCTAGACGATACTTGGCCAGTGTTTTCTTTATTTATTTTAATATTTCGTGGTTACACATATCCTATTGCGAATGAGATGTCTATTGCGTAGCAGTTTTACACGCGCTAGAATTTCCAATAACACAAATATCATGCGAGGCTATATACATTTTTGACAGAGATTTTAGTTGACATCACTGACTTGGTGACAAGGATGTGCCAACATAGAGACACAAGTTTGCACATGTATTATTCGCAGTGTAAAAGCACCCAGGATTCTCATGCCGAAGACCAAAATTAAATAGATACAGCACTCCGTCACACAATCCAGCTAAAGGAAGATAACTTTAAGAAAATGAAAAACGGGAAACTTTGGTAATGTTCATAGAAATTAATCTATGTATTTGTAATATGACATGTAATGAAGTCTGTACGCTCCAAAGGAAAAGTTCAGCAAATGAAACAAAATGGTGTGAATGTTTCTTTAGACATCTTTATAGAGATTGTACGAATGGCAAATAATTATTAAATTGTTTGTATACGAACAAACATAAATATAAACTAGAAATCATATCCAAAGTTTCCAATGTTAAGTGAGTTTAATGTATGTATGTACGAACAACACGACTGACCATGCGAAGCATAGCTACACTTGAAACTACCATTTTAATCATAACGAAAGAAAGAATATATAAAAAATATGAATATTTCTAGTGAGAAAGTAAAGTAGAGAATAAATATAATGAGATTTGACTTCGTTATCCAAAACGTTATTAAGTTCAACAGTGATTCTATAATCAGTTATATTCTCTATGTTAGCCACTATTGCTTTTGTAGTATTCTCATAGTTGTTATCGATAATAAGTCCTCTTCATCAATTGAAAAATCAATAATAAGAAAACACTGATGTTATCAGAGTCAATAAATGTAAAAAAAAATTATGATAAAAAATCTAAAAAGGTACCAAATCATTTTCAAGTGTAGCATGCTATAGTGTGGGGTGGCGTATGTTTACCAGATTGAGGTTTGGGAGCAAAGATGAAGGCTCCTCGGCGTAGCTCTCTAGCCTGGACCGGTCCCTTCGCTGTACCAACAACCGTTAATGACAAACCATAAACCACTATGATTTCCAAAGTGCATGCATCGTCTGTGCGTCTATCGTGAACACTTTTTCAATAGAAAATTTAGATTCAATGATATATGGTGTACGAAAAAGGATATTCTTAGTGTTTTTATATTAAAAAAGAATAATGATATTCATAAAAATGGAAATAATGATCCAAGGAAGTAATGGTAGACGCATCATGTTGTAAATTAAATTAATAAAATGAATATTAAATTCATTCAAAATGTGACACACTATTGTTATCATTAGGTACACTAGGCACGATACTGTATATTAGTAATGTTAGACCATTCTTTTGTCTAAGTAACCATTGATACCCATATGATTAACTAAAATCAAACGGCGATAATTAATTGTACTACATAGTAAGAATGAGGGTATAATTCTATTAATAGTTAGTAATAAAACTCTAATTAGCGAATGTCACACGACAAGGTTGCAGAACCGTTATGAATTTTACATATAAAATATATAACCTGATTTGTCCCCGTAGTTGAGAAATATAAAAATATGTATCCTCCGGTCATTTCCCCCCGCCCGTCCCACTACCTTGCACGTTATTTTAAAAAGAAAAACAAAAAATAGAAAGAAATAAAAAACGAAGCTCTCGCTAATCAAACACCGTAATAGCCATAACCAAGGACAGTCTACTGTGAAGTTGAGTATGTAAAATAGAAAGTTTACCTTTCTTGGTGGTGGCACTGGGTTACCCAAGCCATGATCGGAACACATGGAACTCAGAGATTCACTACTGCGACCGTTACTGAGCCTTGATGAATTGATACCAGACGGTGCGGGTGGAGGCGGATTTCGCGGTCTCTGTAGCGTTGAACTGTTCGATTTGTCCATGCCTGGCCAAAGGAAGAAAAAAAAAAAAAAATTGAAAATAAAAGAATAATTATCTAGTGAAAAAGAAACTTACCGTGTCCCGTCGATGAGTCTCCACTAGGCGATCTCTTGTGGTGCTGATTGTTTAAGGTGTTTATCGAGTGTGGTAAAGTATGTAAGGTGTGACCTGCCAGAATGGGTTCACTGGTTGTTCGACTATGGGACGACGCTGCTAAGGATGCTGAGGATGGTAACGTTCCATAATGAGAGGACGGCATTATACTGCCACCAGTTCCCGGTGGTGGTGGAGGAGCAATCCTTTTCTTCAACGAACCGTGAATATTCATAGAAACGTCTGGTGCTATTGATGCTGGAACTGTTAAAACAAAATTATAGAAAAATTACATATTAGCCTAAACCATTTTTCTGCTACTAGTAGCGGATACTCACCGACAACAGGCTTTCTGGCCTGTGGCAAAGCTGGTGGTGGCATCTGTTGTCTATTCGAAGATGATCCTGGTGAGGAACCACTTTGTAAACTGTCACATGTGCTACTTCGACTTCGTAAAGTTACAGGCGAATCGCCAGGTCCGGTACCACCTCCGCCAGCATAGGATGGCGGTCTGCTTCGTGATTTTTTCTCAGGTGTTAAACACCCATTCTGCACATTAATTAAGAATATTTACAATTTGCAATTGAAATAAAATACCCAACGGACTTGCGCAATACTCAATTACACTCACTCTATCTTCTATGATGGTTTCATCATCTGAAAAGTCTGTGGAGCCTTCGTCATGAGATAAATTCCAATCGATATTGACATTATCGAAGAGTGTTTTCTGTCTCTGGAGAGCATGACTGAGCTGTATAAAAAAAATATTTATTACACACCATCTTGTAGAATTCCTTGATAACAGAAATTAGGAAATGATGTCATCATGTAGCTAACCAATTCTTTACACGTGTGGTGCCCCATATCCTGAGCAATATCTAATGGTGTCTTGTCTTGCTTATTGCGAAGTGTTGGATCCGCACCAGCTCTTAGGAGTAACTTCATAGCTTCTGCCCTGTCATGTCTCGCAGAGAGATGTAATGCACTTTCACCGTCTATAGTAGTTCTATCGATACTCCCGGTTGGCATATTTTGCACTAGGAAGTCGACAATGTGAAGACTACTACCCATTTCACGTAGAACAGCCAGATGCAATGCAGTTTCTCCAATATCCTGAAATCATTGATGTTATTTCAAAGCAATCATAATGAACTTTTTATTATAGCTTTTTTTTTCGAATCGTTGAGACTGTACCGAAGTTGGGAGTGGAGCTGCCAAGTCCACGTTCTCCGCATAAACTTGCAGCAGCTGTTGGAGATCTCTATTGTTGACAGCGTGCTCCAAATCGGAGAGGAGATCCCGTTCATCGGCACAGGTGTTCATGACGTACCTCTTGTCGACGTATTTCGCTCTTATGAATTCGTATCTCTCCTCCCTTTGACACAAATCACGTATTATATCAATGACAGTTAAGAGTCTATCTGGAATCACGAGTCATATTAGATAATGAGCTAATTTACATGGTGGACGTCGGCGATGGTTTCAAATTGTGATGTAACGTCGCCTCCATCACTTCATTGAATGCTTGATTGGTCATATATCGGGCGAGTAATAACTGGGCGGTTCCTACGTTGTCTAATGTCAATGACTGTATTCTAGATATATGGACACCAAGATCCCTGTGTATACCGCTGCACTCTATGCAGACTATTATACCGAAATTCGTGGACAACCACGTAGCATCTGCAAAAAATAATCAAAAGCTTTAATTTCATTCGAATCTAAAGGGATAGTAAAATAGCAATGTGTACGAGCTATGCACGTTCGTATATGTGAACTGTACCATTCTGGGAGGAACAGTCGCAACACTGATCGTTGCCAGGTAGTCGCATAACGCAACGTATTACAGCTTGCTGTAATTCCACCAAACTTGGATTTCCTTGGCCCGCTTCAGCCTTGCCACTAGCATCAAATGCCCTGAGCAAAGCTCTTTCCTTACAATTAACTAAAACGGACATCCAGGCCCTTTGATCTGCTTCGTCTTCCGCTTGAAAGTGGTACGTTCGATTGTCTATATAGAAATAGGTATCATAGGTATTATTTGTTCGATTAGGCGTATTGAACAAAACGTCTGTTTCGTTGAAATTAAAAACACAAAAAAAAACGTACAGCTTATAAGATCGAAACCCCTCTTGTCATCGGGTACCAGCTTTATTTGGCACGTTAATAGATTGACCCTGGTTGGCGGTTTGTTCTCATCCGCGTGACAGATGTCCAGATATCCCTCTGCCTGAACCGCGCACCTTCTCTTCTGCCAGACCCTCCGCATTTTTCCTTCGCTTTTTTTCAAGAGATGACCTGAACGCGTCACACCGTGTTGCTTATCCCCTTGAAGTTGATGCAAAGAATAACCTGCACTCGCATTTGCATTTAGCTATAAAATCAAATGATTGGAAAGTTTAGGTTTAACGGAAGACTTAACGAATTCACGTTTTACTTAGAACCTAGAGGTTCGCGATGTGCTACGAATTGGAAGTGAATGTACAAGGACTACGTGTCTAACTTCTCTTACTTCCTTATCGCATCCCGAACTTCTCAGAAGGCTTCTAAGCTCGGTGAGTCGTCTCCTCTCTTCGTCCTGGGTTTGCCGAATCTTCTGCAGCTTGATGCTAAGGTCAGCCACGTAAGATCCAAAGTGTTCGATTGTCTTGAGACCATCTTGAAAGTAACTAGAGCGTGGAAAGATCGAAAAGTCTATAGTATCGCATTTGAGGTCCTTGGAGTTAATGGAAAATTACGAGTGCTTGACTTACTTGGTCTGCGCGTGATAATACTCGACTAGATGCTGTAGCAGCTCGATGCCTTTCTTCGTTTTAATTTCATTGACTTTTATGAGGTACTGCGCGGCGACATGAAAGATCCAAAATTTTATAATTAAGACTGCACAGTAAAATCGATAACACGACGAACGAGCAAACGACCTATGACACAGACCTCGCACATTTGCAGCTGAAACAACCTTCTCTCCTTTTCCATTTCATCGGCTATTTCGGCAGGTGTCACTTCCGTGCGGATGAGGCCAGCCTCCTTAGCGTGCTGCTTCTTTTCCTTCTCGATTTTTGCGTATTTCGCCTCGTAGTCCTTCCAGGCTTTCTCAAAGGGTCGCTTAAGATCACCTTTGACACCCCTCAAGTCGCCCTTAAGCACCGAATCCAGCGGGAACATCACTATGTTATTTATGTTCTGCATCTGAAATCACAGGGGGTGTCATTTCGACTTGGGACGATAAATCATAAGTGAACGAAAATTATGCAATGCCAATAAGAAAATATTGTAAATCTCAATAAAAAGACCAAGGACACTGTTCAGTTCTTATCAAGAACATTAAACCTCTGGAGTATACGGTATCCGTCTATGTACCATATAAGGTGGTTACAGCATCATCCAGCACGATGACAGAGATTTATGAGGAATCCACGAGGATGAAGGACACAAACGGGCAACAATGTGGAGATGACTCATGCTCGATATCTTATGGGAAATTGTTTCTGGTGCATAAGGGTAGCTCATCTCGATACAGAGCCCCAAACTTACACAACAGTCCACGGATGACTCACGTTTACGCTAGCAGTTTCCTAGGCAGACAGGCTTTTATTCAATGAGAGACAGGAGGAGGAGCCCCCCATCGATCGTAGGGAGGAGGATGACCCCATACTTTTTATAGTTATTCCCTGAAACGCAGAATGCGTCGGGACGCCAACAGTATAATCAGCGAGACGCGCAGAAGAATCGAATAAAAAATAATTACAAGAGGGCAGGAGAAACGATCCTTCCAGGAAATCCTTCCTAGGGAAAGGATGCTGTTATACGGTATATGCAAGAGAAATAACCAAAAAAGTAAAGTCGATCCCTGCGTATGGGACGCATAAGAAAAGGTCCTTTTATCCTTTTATTGATTTTTACTGACATACGAGATTATATGTAATAGAAAGGAGCTCGATATTATCATAGGGATGCGCCTCGCGGACTTTGAAAAATTGGCGGCTGGTCTAAGGCAGAATCGCCGTAGGAAGAAGAGTTTAATTTATCGCGATACACCGTGACCGATCGATTATTTTCCCTCCTGGGCAGGACGAATGCAGTCCAGGTCGAGGCGTGGTCGGCCGCGTCTTACGAATCTGGGCCAAGGATCCTCCCGCTCAAGGTCCCGCACAGGAGGACAAGGAGAATGACTTCCGGAGGATCGAAGGAAGCCGTCTCCGGAGTCCATCCTGACTATCCGGCCTCCCGATTCTTTCTCAAGAGGGTGAAAGAAGAAGAGAGAAATACGAAGCTGCATCGCGTCACGATGCAGCGAATTAAGAAAGTAGCCTCAAGAAAATTCAAGGAAAATTCTACTTGCGGGCTCGAGCGAGCACTTCCGGTTTACTCCTTCCACGCCTGCAGATCAATAAAGTGCCGCCGCTTCCGGCGTCGCTGCTGGACGCTCTAGGGCACTAACAGCACCAGGTCCTCTAAGTAGATGCGTCATCTAGGATAAATCTAATCTACGAGATGAAAAAGTCATGAGATATTTTACCAGTGTTTTCATAAGGGCGCTAAGCTCCTTGGTGACCACAGCAAACTTAAGGAAAGCAGCACCGATATCCGGTTCCTGTTCCTTGAGTGCCGCATCGCCGAGCCTCTCCAACGCTCTGCCCAGGTACACCTCGTTGTCCACGTGAGCTGTAATTGAAAGAAGAATGATGCATCAGTATGCCTCGCCTGAAGGTGCATCTCCATTTAGATATATCGCCGATGATTCACAGCAATGAAACCGTCACTTTCGATCGACTGATTCATCAGTGGAAAACGGTCCAAGCTCCGGTGCATCGCTGGAGTCGCTCCTGGTGCAGTTGTGCATCACGATCCTCCTACCGTAACTAATTGTAAGTGCTCGCTTGGCTGCGGGTATAGAGGGAAACCAAATTAAATAAAAGAAAGTGATGGTTGGATGTGTCGGACTGAAACTGCACCAATTGCACCAATTGCACCGACTGGGCCGACCGTCCTCGAAATTTCGAATGATTGGATCGCTCGAGGTATTTCATCTTTTTTTTCCCTTTTAACTCATTTTTACTCATTTTTACTCATTATCCACAATTTGCGCTTCTCTCTGATCTTTGACTTTCCAGGTGAATTAACAGGGACGATAATTTCCAAATATTCGTTACTGTAAAAGCGAATTGCCGAAGGAAGTGCATTTAGCGAAAAAGAATAAACTGCCACGTTCCTAGAGGAAAGGACCGTCTGGTGTATCAGGGAGATCGACTGCTCCCGAGGGTCCATTGTCAGGCACGTCGATCTACTCCGTAATCCGGGATGCGCCTAGAGTTGCGAGAGTCTTGCTGGGACACATTGGAGATATACCTGGCGGTGTACGTTAAGTGGCGGTGCTCGAGGAGAGCCTCCTGAGACGAGAAAGAGAGAGAGAGAGAGAGAGAGAGAGAGAGAGAGAGAGAGAGAGAGAGGGGCAAGCGGCCCATTGTGGGACACGCGCCAAACGCTGCAGTGGAAAAGTAACCGGCGTCAGTCAAGATTCTTGAGAAGAAGAGAAAATTAAATAAAAGACCTTAAACAGCCATTGTACAGGCATTGTGCTCGCCGACAATAGAGCAGAGAGTTTACGATAACAGTTGAAAACAGTATATGGGAGTGAGGTGGGGATATGGGGATCCGTGAAAATCATGCTCGTCCTAACCTCCAAATCCAACCTAACCTCCGTCGCACTCGAGAGTCACAGGAGCAAAAGGTCGTCGCGCTTAGGTTGGGTCGAACCTGCCAGTTGCTGCCAGTTCAAAATGAAGGAACGAAAGCCAAGAGGCGCCAGGAAAATCGATTTGTCTGCCTGCTGGCTGACGAACTGACGACCATTGCACGTCCTTCCAATATACAAGTATAAACGCTATACTGCAGAATATTTAGCCTGTCAGGCTACACGCACACACTCCGCGCGTCTTTACACCCCGTGAAGTCAAATATACAATATACACCCTGAGTATCCTGTGAGAAATTTATTACCATATTTTGCCTTTCTTCTTAATTCTTCTTGATTCCAGAAATAGGCATCTCCAGACTCTGTCACATAAAAATGGTCGCGCGTCGCGTTGCCTCCCATTGCGATAAGGAATAATCAAAAGGTTTATTTCGGGTGAGCACTGATAGTGCTACCGACAATGGAATTTCTTTTGTACCGGACCGCGATTACACTTTGGCTAGACTAATCTCACCGATAAGACTTTAACGAACGCGATTCGCACGCCAAGGATAACGCCGGATAACGCCGCACCGCAACTCACCACGAAATCTCCGAATTTCTGTAACCAACGAACTCCTTGGAGATGGAGGCCGGAGACACTGCCGTGCCGTCTGGTGCGGGGCTTTTGTAATGCGTCGTCCTGACGTCACGTTACAAAGTATATCTTTTATATATAAAAGTAACTTTATCTTTACTGTCGTTAGGTTAGCTAGAGATGAGATTGACAACACAAGGTTGATTGACGGATGATTATAATTCCCATGTGCGATGTCACGTTTAAACGGTCGTCTCGTCGAACGGGTGTAGCCGGCCGAGCCATGCCAATTTTTCCTCCCGCCACATGGCTGCCTGTTCTGCCTGTTCTGCCTGTTTTAAATGTATTGCAAGCAGGAAAGGCGACATCGAGGAAACGATTATTATTTTTATATGTACATCATGCGCAGCAGCGCACCTCCGCAGGAGGCTTTGGAAATATAAACGAGGAGAGACTCGACCCTTCCGGGACAAGGAAACGGGCATCAGTCGGTTTCCGGTTGAACTAGCAGCCGGAAGCGGAAGAGCGGAATCGACGGAATCATGGGGCACGAGTTCTCCAGGCGTCAGACTGCGATACGAGTCTGCGGTTAATCGAAAACACTACGATGCTTCAGATTCTCTCTCTCTCTCTCTCTCTCTCTCTCTCTCTCTCTCTCTCTCTCTCTCTCGCCCAGTTTATTTATCTGTATATACTATATATTGTATCCAATCTATTGGGCGTAACCGATGAACGAGCCCGTCCACCCAGAAGAACCCAAAAGACCAAGAAGACGACGTTAATCGTCCAGGGTGCTGTGGGCACGGCGAGTGTCGTCGATGAACGAATTTGAAATTGGATGATCGGAAGAGGAATAGAGTGGAACGGAGTGGAATAAGTTGCAAGTTGGAATCGATTGCAATCCCTTTGCCTGGCACATCTTTTACTTTGACGATTGTCCACACTAATGATCGGACTCACCGTTTCCGGAATTGTGGATGGCCTTTATGGCCTTCTTCAATTTAGTCAGCCCATCTCTGTCAAAGTCCAGCGTCTGAAAGAATAGAACAAACGAATGTGTTAATTCGATAAAGTGGGTAATAATAAAAGTCAAAGTTAATGCATTCCCTCGGTAGCACGGTATATCTCTTATCAGCGTGTACTTTATCGAGCGGAGGATTCTCTTATCATTTTTATTGGCAGAACGATAAATCCAGGGTCCATCGAAACCACATAGACTATCAGCCAACCAATTTTCAAATTTACTCCAATGGATTTTCCAGATTAAAATTAAAAAGTCAAAATAATTCCTCAGTTTCTTACAAGTGACTCGACTAATGGGAAAACCCAACGCTCGACGTCCACGTGTCAGAGGAACCGTCTCCTTCGAGCTGGCTCAAGAAAATTTTCTTCTGTGACGGTACTGGCTCCAAGGAGTTCAGAGAACGTGCCATGTCAGGACTGTCAAACTCATTGACAGTCCCGATTTCAATTGACGAGATCCCGAAGCTTCGATCGAAATTCAATGTCGGAAATCTTGAAAGTTCGCAGAGTCTGCAGAGTCGTCGCGACGCCGGAAATTTCGAAGGCTTAATTAACGACGAGCGATAATTACTTTCAGATTCGAGAAACCGAATCGTAAATCGATTCTGCTATATACAGTATCACCCAGGAGCACTCGGACGATCAGATTGGAAACTGGCAGCTCTAGGAATTCGAGGCCTTGCATAACCAAGCATTTCACCTGTACGCATTTTACGTAAGGAATTACCACGCAGCCACGTGACCGCCATAGTGTCCTACGGACGCCATACACTCTCGCACGTACGCCTCTTATTACCTACAGCCTCCACTATTGCCGTACGGCAGTGACGCAGCTTCGCAGTGCCAATTTACAGGGTGATACACGGGGAACTTCCTGTTTAAAATTTTACACGTTCCTCGGATGTATGACATAATTATGTATGCGTCAAACGTGCAGAGATTCGTGATACGAAGGTGCCAGTGCGATCCAAGGTAACGTCGAGGTCGACCGAGAGCTGAGACCATCCGAAGGCGAGTTGAACTTTATGTCCGCTAGGATCGCGGCTGTTTGTGCTGCTTTTTAAAAGATCTTTATAGTGCCTAGTGAAATCGTATCAAGATCAGCGAGACCCAAGAGACCCAAGAGACCCAAGTCGAGCTGCATAGCCGCTCACTGGTTTTACTGGCTAAGGCACTATACGAGGCGTCGCCTTCCTCGCCATAAACTGCTAATTGTGGATCAAGACTATCCGGCATACTGTTACCCTTACGTCTGGTGCGCCAAGAGGCGTCGCGACGCCAGGCACCTCTTAACCTCCCGTGCGGTTGCCAATAATCCTATCCTAAGGGATTCGAGTATCGAGTAGCCTATCTGTCTCAGTTTCCCCTCTGCACACTTTGCTTTTTCTTACTTAGTTCCACTTTCCTCCGCTTCAGTCCAGAATGGCGCATCGAACGTCCAACCTTTGAACTGAAGAAGTTCGATAGCAACGACACAGCGTTTCATCGAAAGCCCTCTGTTTCTCTGTTCCCTCGCGAAGAAGCCCTGCCTCCCGGACGAGGAGCCCTGGTCCGCAATTTCCCCGAGTGGAACTTGGAACAAGGAACATTATCGAGGAACGAGTGACGTTGACGGGAGAAGGGAACAATGGGAAAAGAAAGTAAAAGAGAAAAATGCACGTGACACACGTTGAAACTCACCAAAGTTCTTGGAGAATTGCGACCGGCGCATTCCTTCGGTCCAATTAGAAGGTTCAAAATCATTTCAATGTCGACTGTACAGACGCCACGTGAAAGAAAAGAGACTTAATGAAAATTCGCAGAAGGCAGGATGATCTTTTTAAAAAGAAAATCAATCGCGAGCGACGAATTTGCGAGAAGTACGACTGGGTACGACGCGCCGACGAAACTCCTTTTGATCTCTGATACGAGAAACGGCAAAGATACGTCGTCTCTTATCTACCGTGTCACAGTTCAAACGCGCCGATTAATTTACAGCCGGAGGAGGGAAAAAGATATTCGAAACTCCGAGACAGCCGCTGGGTGGGAAGCTACGCGGGCGCGTCGCTCTATGCCGAACTGGTCCACAGCTGATCGCGAGGCTGGGCAAATGGCTGCCAAGTGTCTGCCGTCTATCGTCTGTCGAAATAGGTGCCGGGCTGATGAAATTGCACTGCCACGACGACAATGTCGTGCACTTCACCTGCATCCGTGCGGCTGGACCACGTGAACCTTTCGGCCGCGACTGCAGTGCTAGAGCCACGCATTCTGAATCATCTGCTCCCAATTGGCACTCGACTTCGATGCCTGTGCAACTGCCGATAACGCCTGACCCCTTGGTACGCTGCCATTTCTTTTTATTTTCTGCATCGAGAATACATTCGACTCGGTCGCCTTCGAGTTGCATCTGCTGGGTGCACTTTATTGGCAAATGCCGACTGACCGGCTGACCGGCTGGTCGCCTGATCGTCTGAGCTCCCTTCGAGGACGCCTTTCCCAGGTAAGACGCGAGAGAAAAGTAATCAGAGGAAACAGTAAAATGTACAATAAGGCGATACAGGAGGACGTAATGGCTACCCTTTCACTAGCACGTGCTAATGAGACCCTCCGACCACAATTATCTTTGCCACAAAGCCACGTGGAGCACTTATGATAAGGTGCGTTCACAAAGGGCAATTAATTGCAGCGCGGTTCCCATCGTGTCGCGTGTCGACACTCTGCACACGTTTTCCCGTGTAAACGATTATTAAAGTGCGTGAATGAATATATAGAACGAAAGCAAGAAGAATAATAATAATGATAGAGGTAGCGGGATACCACAGAACGCACAATGCGTGACTCCTAACGCTCGAAGAACACCGTCCGAGTGGTTGGCTGCTCTTCCTACGGCTGGTGAAAGAATAAACTGCACTCGAAGGAAAGTGCCAGGCTCCGTCGGGCCGTGCCCTTGTCAAGCCGACGACGACTGGGCCAAGACGAGAAATACTCTCCAAAAACAATAGTCCGTCCCTCGTGACGTTTGCGACGTCGTTTTGTCCAACATCGTTTCGAACGGCAACGCAGACTGTATAATGGATACGAATCTTATAGTACGTCTATAGCCGAGTGGGAGAGAGAGAGAGAGAGAGAGAGAGAGAGAGAGAGAGAGAGAGAGAGAGAGAGAGAGAGAGAAGGTACGGGCATTGATAGCCTCTGAAAACAATGCAGGACGGTTTTGACAGCTGCTGCCTTCCAGTGCCAACGGATGCAATTGTTCCCCGACGCATTGTACCCAAGCATGGATGATGAACGCAGAACCACTCGGCTGACGTGTCAATGTGAAAAGAAAAAAGGAAAAAGATAGAAAGGATCAAGGCTTTCTCTCAGGAAAATCCTTTATTCATGGGGGGATTCGCATTACTTTTCCTCACGCTTTTCCAAACGTCATGGGCGCGCAATGCGAGGTCGCGTTGCGTCAAGAAAATTAATGACACTGACCTCGCCTAATTTCGCGTAAGATTTTTTAACGGCAAATCAACAGGAACTAAGGAAAACGACAGGCGAACATATTATTCTTGGTTCTCTTTCCTGGTGCGAACCGCAGACGTGAAAGTCGACCACCCGGTGTGTAATAGACAAACTCGATGTACGTTATCTCTTGGTGTGAAACAGTCGCGGAATACCTAATTATAAACTACAGATAAGACAGGGCAAATCACTGTATTGTAATGGAAAGAATTAGCACTTGGTTCTTTTTTAACTTGCAGCCAGACGCACTGAAAAATGCGACATGCGTAGACTGCACGAGGAATCGGTACGTCATACCAGAGCTGCCACTTTTAATGGCTGTAATAACTTTTGTACAATTTTAAATTCTCTAACATTATTATTGACGATTTGTCTTTCTAAAAAGACGCAAATGAAACTTCACCCGGTCAGTTCGGCAGTCGCGGAGTTGTGGAACATTTAATATTGAATAGGTAAAGGGAGAAAAAGTAAGGACAGTCGTTAATCTTGTTTTGCTAAGAAATTTTTTCACAGATTCATCGTGAATCATTGCTTTACGCAAACGGATGCTTAAAATACAAAATGCAAAGCAATTAGCAAAATGTTAACTGCAGAGTCAAAATAATGACCGTTTTATTGTGAGTCGCCAAGAAGCTCCTGAAGTTACGGGGTAGAAGGTTATTACGCCGCGCTAACGACGTGTCGTTTTTATTAAGTCGGCGTTGCGACCGAAAAAAGTAATCGACCGCGAGCTGCGCCATCTGCAATGCAAATTATTAATTAGCCTTCGCCGGAATACAAGGTACGAGCCCTTAACGTCACTCGGCCAATAATACGGGGATAGGATTGAAGAGTAACGAAACCTTTCGAAGTTAACGTTAATGTAACCTAACCTAACGACTCTCGTAACGAAGCATAATATTCGCAAGTATTTCCGCTCGCTACGCGAAAACGAGCTCGTTAGTCGACTCGGAACGATTTAAGTTCGTTCATTTGAAGGTTAAGTCATCCTTACTCGTGGATCGTTGGACTCTGGAGGACTTGCCACAAATGGGGGATTGACCCAATTACGTTTACGTTTTTCTTTTTTTTTTCCTCTAGTTTCTCTACTCTGGGAAGAGACGAAGGGGAAAAAAGAAAAGCAGAGAGAAATAAGTGGTGTGGACGACGCCTGAAAAAAAAGATCTCAACTCGGCTCGGCCATAGTTGACATAAACCGGCACACCGAAGACTAATAGAGGAGAGCAAGTGAGACAGAGAACAAGGGAGCAGCGGAGCGAGAGAGTAGGCTGCAAAATATGCAGAGAAGAGCGAGAGAGTGAGTGAGAGAGAGAGAGAGAGAGAGAGAGAGGGGAGGATGCAAAAGCGTCACGTAGATGCTCGGTCGGTTCGCAATTGCAGAGAAGAGCGAGAGAGTGAGTGAAAACCGGCACACCGAAGACTAATAGAGGAGAGCAAGTGAGACAGAGAACAAGGGAGCAGCGGAGCGAGAGAGTAGGCTGCAAAATATGCAGAGAAGAGCGAGAGAGTGAGTGAGAGAGAGAGAGAGAGAGAGAGAGAGGGGAGGATGCAAAAGCGTCACGTAGATGCTCGGTCGGTTCGCAATTATCGACATCGATCGCGTGTGCGACGTGTCGCGCGATCCACCTCGACTTTATTGAATCTAAATAAATTCCACTGAAGGAGCTCCGAGTAGTTTCCTAGCGTCTTGGCATTTGGTATATGTTTTCTTTTTTGTAAGGCCAAAGGGCCACTCCGTCCCAACAACTGTCGACGGGATGCAACGTGAAGGTTAAACCTAAAGCGAGCACGCAGAGCGCTAATGGCATGAGACACTTGTGGCTTCTTAAATGCGCTCCGTGACGTCGGATGGGATTTATGTCTTTCTCTTTCCCTCTTATGTCAATGACGAGGAGGAAACTGCGTCATCGTCCGACTACCGAGCACGTTCACGTAGACGTAAATGCATATCTGTACATACGCGAAAATCTGCGAAGGCCATTGCGAGGGCGAAAATAAACGGGCCCACTTTTAAATAGACTCGCTCGGCGAGAACGCGGCAGCCATTCGCGCAATCTTCTATACGGAATGGTGGCAACCAGCAACCTCTTCTTCTTGGAGGTGGGTCAACCCGGCTGGATTAGCACTATGAGTGACGTATCGATAGATGGATAGATGTTAATGGAGACCATCTCCCATTTAGGAGATTTACCACTTTAGGATAAGTAAAATATATTCGTTCGTTAAAATATTCATGGATATCACTCGAAAACCGGATATATCGCCCTGGTTGAAGTCATCGGTTATTACGGTACCGGAAGAGTACGGAATATAAACGAGACGGGGAAAATTACCCAGTGGCATTTCCTGGACGACGTACAGGAATAGCACGCGTTCTAAGACAGGAGACCTTATTAAAAGCTGCGTGCTCGAGTTTCGTCTACGGAATACTTGGCTGGAAAAAATTGGCAGTTCTACATTGAGTACCGTACCGTGCAGAAACATAGTTAACACACCTACACAGCAGAACTGCTTAACGGTACTTATAATGTATATATACTTGTGTCAAATTTATGAGGTTTCTTTAGCAAGCAATTATCTTTTTACCGAATGAACAAACGTATGACGTTTCTCAATGTTACAGCAGTCCTCCTGATTCCCGATGCAGTATTATACTATGGCAGACATTGCACGTCATTGTCTTAATAGCTGGGAGGAGACTCGTAAGGGCTTGTATAGCAATTCGTTTCGGACGATCCTAGTCGGCGCGTTCCAATTTCATGCGTGGGCTCTTTAAAGTCTGTTTTTAGCGTGGTAAACAAAAAGTCGTGACGACGCAGCCCTCGAGGTTGCACCGCGCGTCACAGAAATACGATCGTGTGCTCCACCTCCTTGCATTCCTTTCCTTCCCATTCTATTAATCGACATGACTACCCTTCTTTTTTTTCCTTTATCACTCTGAACTTCCTGGTGCACATCCTTTTCCTCAGTGGTTGTGATACGAGGAACCGCATTTGCTATACTGCACGCATCGCTGATATATCGCCTCTTGACAGTGCTAGTGTAAAACCGGCGGTGGCGATCGATCGCAGTATGTGATTGAAAGAGTTCGTAGAGAAAAATAAAAAAAATTCCTGTTAATAAAAAAATGCGCATTATACTTTTGAACTGAAGGCATTATGTGTCCGATGAAAGAATTATGCGGTATCCTAGGGCAACGTCGTTAGGAAATTCCTATACAGTGCTTAGGGCACGGGTCAGCTTAGTTTACACTAGGGAATCCCACGGAAATGCCTTTAATGGCATAGGTACGCAACCAACCTAAGCAAAACACCTACGCTATCCTGAGGAAACAGTCGATAGTATTCAGGACGCCCGGTAAGGTTACTACAGTATGTAGTGGGACATCGCAAGAGGAGTAGGAAACAAAAGAGTAGGTGGAACTGAAAGGAGATTGTATGAATTAATTATTGGAAGAATTTATATTATATAGCAGTATATCTACTAACCTCCTCCAATGCTGTGATGGTCTGTCTGCACTGGGGCATTCGTGACACGAAGGTGGACGTCGTCGGGGAGTTGTAATCCTCCCTAGTCTCTTCGACGAATTCACTCACTGCTATTAAACCCGGCATTTTTAATCAGCTGATTTGGACTCGATTTTATCCTAGACGTTAATTCACCTTGACTCCACTTCACTCCACGCACCACGGAGCCTACACTCGCTCGAAAACCACCATAAATTCCACCGCGAAGAACTGTCACCTCAACGCCACAGCTCAGGACGGACAACTATTCGATTCTCTCTTTGCTTTTCTTGAGCTTGATATTTCTCTCTCTCACTCTCTCTTCCTTTCTTCTCCTCTACCCTTCTCTCTCTCTCTTAGTATTTCTCGATAAACTTCGCTCCGTTCGAAGTTTCCTGTCTGAACTACTCCCGTTGCGTTGTGTTAAAACCACACGACGTCCTAGCCTTGCCTACCTCTCCTACGAGACACTCTCACTCTTTCTCTGACTCGGTTATTTTCGTGACATCTTCCTTCCAAGCTTCCTTCCGCGAGGAAACATTCTCTCTCCGAACCCCGGAGCAACACACACACTTGCACGACGGTTCCTCTCCCGCTTATTATGATTGTTTTCCTTTACTCGAGTGAACTCGGTCGGTGCCAAAGACTCCACACTCTATTCAGAGTTGCTGGCGGCGTTGCAGGCACGCGTCCGTCCTTGCTTATACTAACGAGACTACGGAGTTGAATATAAATCTGACGAGGAAGTCCTTTGTACTACAATGCTGCCCCCTAGTAGATATTCCTTGAAGCTTGTAGAGGGAGCCACAAATGCTTTGACACTCATGGTCGTTGCAATGTGAATAGCTCTTAAGGATAACTGAGGAAAACCTGACAAGGGAATTATGATGCTGAGAATGAACATAAAAAAAAAAGTTAAAACATAGGTGTTTGGTAATTTTATTATCGAAATACACGGTTTAGAGGACAAGAGTTTCTTGGAGCTTAAGCTGCTTCTTACTTTTAGCTTTCACTTGAGCAGCAATACGATCGAGATCCCTGCGACCTTGGTTTGTTAGCTTGCGACCACCATTTGGAGCCTTCTCGATGAGTTTGAGTTGTTCGAGACTCTGCAGAGCTTTACGTGCTACTCCACCTGCTGATCGACAGAAGTGGCTGGGGTGTGTGCCATTTCGTTTGCGTCCACCAAAGATCTTTGTCACTGCACCAACTCCAATTGGACTGCGGATATAGATATGACGTACAAGAGCTGCACATCGTACATAATACCAGTCTGGATCATATGGAGCCAATTCCTTGAAACGAGCTGATTTAACAATGTCCACCCATTCTGGGACACGCATCTTGCCTGTCCTGAAATTTCATAATCGCATACCCTTTAGCATTTAAAACTGTCAATGTCCAATATCTTTTTTTTTTTAACGGCATATATATACGAGTATATGATTATATTCTGAAGATTTCTCAAAAATATATAACAAGGCAAAGTAATGCTAGATGTAAATATACAATTCAAGTCGAATTTATAGGTTACGTTTTCAAAGCAGTTATTCTGATACTTACTTCTTAAGGAAGGCAGCAAAGGCCTTCACAAATTTGTGCTGGTCAACGTCCTTTAGCGTTACCGAAGGCATCTGAAACACGAAATAACACGAAAATTAACATCCAACAGAATGCCAAACACAACTACACGTGTATCGACGTCTCTTGAATGAGGCACTAAATTTCTCAATTTTTCAACAAGTAAAATCACATAAATCTCAAATATTAAAAAGTCTAAATTAAAAGAATTAAGAGGAATCAATATCATGTTGAAATAATAATATAATAACGCTAAAATCCTGTTAAATATATCACAAAATGTCAATACCACGCACCTCTATAGCGGTGCTAACCGGAAAGAGCTAAATCAACATGGCGGCTCAAAATCAAGATGGTCGAGAGTAACGGGAAGTAGTCATGCATGCTGGAAAGGGGAAAGTATAACCACGAACACAATCGGCAAAGTATACTCAACAAAAACAACAGTATAATTTTATTCATTTATCAAAACCAATAACAATTTTCCTATCACTTACAATTTGTCGTATAAATCCAAAGTATCAATACATCCATCACATACAACTCTACCTTATCATTGCAAAGTGATAAAGTTACGGAATTATATCACAGATATCGCCTGTGTCCATAAAAAGCTGTAATATTTATTTCGATCATACAATCCATTTCAAATACATATCCTATCAAGTCAGGCTATCCTAAATCTCCGTCAATCTCTAATAATAATTTCGAATAAACAATTACATTGTTCTAAAAAGTTAGGTTAGGTTAAATTTACAAAACTCAAAAAATATACTATAACCACGGGCTGTTCGTAACAGCTGTAATACGTGTAATGTGTCATTAACGATAAGTTTCTCCAGACGATAGTCGCAAGAATCATTGATTATTTCATCATCAGTGCGCCGTATAAAAGTTGTCATCAATGCAGGTGTTGGTCGAAACACTAGTGAACCAGTGCAGAAGATTCTATAAGATAGGAACTTTAACAATGTCACGATCTCTGTCGCAACGGAAGTGTCTGAGTAACGCTTTAACAGAATCCGTGCCCTTTTCCAGGGACTTCTTATTTCGTCAGGTGAGTCATGGCCTTAATTAAAAGAATCATGCATTATTCGGTAATGTTGCACGCAACATATACATATGTTGAAACAGCAGCGCACGAACAGTAATGACAGATTCACAACTTTGATGGACTAGTCGCATATGTTGACAAATCGCGGAATCAGACCAACCAGAAGTCTGGTTCTCTTGACTTGTCCGATACGTGCGAAAAATCTGACAAAACTGTGAAGACGTCAACAGAGTGGGCACAATTGGCGCTTCTTGTCGTAGAACATTTATTCAGTTCATTGTATAAATTATTAAAGACGTTGGATATACTGAAGAATAATGAGAACATTGATATAATGAGATTTCCATTTGAAATTTCTAGTATTTTGATCCAACATCCAGTACCTACACGTATCTATTGGCTGATGTAAAACAACAGGAAGCGATCCTGATCGATCCTGTGATAGATTGGGTTGAGCGTGATTCTAAAATCATCCAGGAATTAGGATTGCGTCTTAAGTATGCCCGTGAGTTATTATTCCAGTAAGATTATCGAATCATACATACCATATCTGATGGAAGTGGAACAGCAGCGCATAATCCTTAAATATATCTTTTCATTTATATTGATAGTGACTTATAAGCTGACCCCGTTGTTGTTCTCACTGTATCGCATCGCGAATATAATGCGAAAGATCTATTGCCGTTCTTGATACCCACCCAGCAGAAATCCTCAAGCTTTTCACAGGCTTAACTAAAACGTCCCCCGGCTAAGACCTTCCTAATCTCGGCATAGTTTCGTCATCCCGCAGACTCTGGACGTAGTGGCGGCATAACGCTTGCCCTTATTACACTGCGGACCCCCTTGGGTGTACTTTGAACTTTGGCGACAGCAAACATCGCCGAATCTCTTCCCCGAGAACGGGAAGAAGAGAAGGATAGAGGTACTCTGAGCGAGGATAAGGAGGGTCAAGGGGGAATGGGAAATCGCGTTCAAGTACTTTTCAAGTAGATTCTACTCTGACAACTTTATCAATCCCAAGTAGAAAGTACCGATTACGATTTTACGGAGTTTCGAGTAGGTACAGATTTTCCTGGGATTCCGGACTGCTGACATTCCTCGAGTGGCTTGGCATATGCGTTTTACACATTTTTCTCTCTTTCTCTTTTAGATCATTCATTATGAATTACGTTTATTGCAAGCTCCTCATACATTCTCGTTGCCATGCTCTACTCTTTTATTTCATATTTATTTTTGCCTTCCCCTACGTGCAGCCCCGCGACGCTGCTGACAGTTAATTTCACTCAACGCGATAGACAATCGACACGCTATACATATATGTATATTGAATACCATGTTTTACCTAACACCGCAGTGAACACCCATATGCACGCGGACCACATCACCGGTACTGGAAGGCTCAAATTACTACTACCAGGCTGTCAATCGATGATATCGCGAACCAGTGGTGCTCAGGCTGACGTCCTTCTCGAGCCGGACGATCGGATTAATTTTGGACGACATCTTCTGGAGGTTCTACCCACTCCTGGACATACGGAAGGTTGGTCCGAGTATAGGTATATCCTCGACACATCCTACCAGCATTGAAGGACCTCTCTTCGATCTTGCCCGATTGCCATGTCCTTTGAAGAGGAAACAAAAACTTGATAAAGTCACAAAGGTCGAGTGTCCATCCACCTGGAAATCTTCTTTTCCTTTGTCGACAGGAAATTAACGTTGCGACACATTAACGTTCGTGGTAAAACACGATTTCAGAAGCCTATGGAATCTTTGATTTGAAGTTATGAGAGTTTTGAATAATCTTAAAAATTACAGACGTCCCGACACGCAGGATCCTCAAGACGATCCCCACGATCCTCCTCTACTAGGATTGACTGTCCTTTTCAGAGGCTAGTACACATTCTTTTGTGTTTCGGACAGGTTGCGTGACGTACGTCTGTCGCGAACAGGGTGTAGCTTTCACTGGCGATGCTCTATTGATACGAGGTTGCGGGAGGACCGATTTTCAGGTTCGTATATTTCGATTATATGATCAATGCGATAACGAGAATGCAGATTCGTTAGTGTATCCCGTATTTCATGCTTGGAGTTCTCGGCATGTAATGGGCGCTTCATTGAATTCCTCTATGCATGCAGGAGAGATAGGGAAAGATTATATAATTTTGACAGTCGGTATATTTTATATCGAACATTCGACGTTTAATCCGAGAATTCCAAGACTGCTTGAAGAAGCAGCCAGCGGTGCGCGCAGTATCGCGTTATTCTCTTTATTCTCGTTCAATTCTCAATGGCCATTACTAAAGGTCTCTTTATTCTAGTTTGGCCCATCCAACCTGCACTCTACCCCACGGCCATTGACTACCTGCAATCTTCGTTTTCCAGGGTGGTTCGCCTGAGACTCTTTACAACTCCGTTCACAGCCAGATATTCACTCTGCCCGAGAATTACAGGCTCTATCCGGCCCACGATTACAGTGGAAGAACCGTGACTACAGTGGCCGAGGAGAAGCTTCTGAATCCACGATTAACCAGGTCCTTGGATGACTTTGTTAACATCATGAAGAACCTGAACCTGGCCTATCCGAAGATGATAGGTGAGTCCTGATAGCTACCACCACAGGTACCCCCGCAGGCCTGTTGCCCAACTTTATACCTGGTACAGTCGTGTATAGAGAGAGAGAGAGAGAGAGAGAGAGAGAGAGAGAGAGAGAGAGAGAGAGAACGGCCAAGAGTTCTCTAACCAACTCCTCACGGCTTCAGGGAAGATTCCGAAGGTCCTCATGGAACTCTTCGCAAACCATTTCAGCCGATGGATAAAACTTCTTAATTTCGCCGAGGCTTGCGAGTACCTCTTCCACCTCCTCCACCTCCTCCTCCTCCTTCTCTCCGATCCCCTAGAGACACGGCCGTCCTACCAATAGAGAAAAAGAAGAAAGGAAGCCTCGCGACCAATTCTTTCTTCTTCCTCTTCTTCTTTCTCCCTTTTCACCATCTTTCTTCCTTTACAGACAAAGCCGTGCCGGCCAACAAAGTTTGCGGCCTTTACGGAGTCTGCGAGGAGAAGGAGCAGTGAGGAATGGAAGATTTTTCGTAATGATGAAAAACAAAGCATCTGGAGGATTGAGTGTGGACTCGGAAAATCATACTTCTATCACGTACTAATTTTTTTAATAAAAAAAAAATTCTCTCTGTAGTCTATGATATATCTGTATATCAGTTGACGACTGGGCAAATCCGATAAGATTATACGTATAATAGATATATATATATATATATATATATATATATATATATATATATATATATATATATATATATATATATATATATATATATATATATATATATATATATATATATATATATATATATATGAAATTGTTAACGCGAGGATAAATTTCCATGAGAAACCCAACAGCGTTCCAATAAATAGTCCATTTCTGGCTCTCACATGCTCGGCTTTGCTTAGCGGCATCGCGTAGCCTTGAAAGTCAATAATTGCGGCTGTTGTGTACAGTCAAGTGCGCTGAGCGCGAAGGGTGCGTAACACAGGGCTTTTTAAGTAAAATCGTAACCAGGAGTTAACGCGTTGGTCGTTTGTTATTTTTGTTTGACACCCCCTCAACTTTTCTTTTTCTATAATTTTGTTTAACTTGCCCATTCAGCCTTCTCAGGGAAATAAAGGTGTGACAGGAATGAACGGAGTCACGTTGTAACACGGACTTTTGCAATGTAACCAGCGGAATACAAAACGGCACTACCCGTAAAAGTATTTATGTGGTTGGTAATAAAAATTGTATCTCTTCGCACGGGCTACTGACATCCATCCCAGGTAATTTTTCAATCGTCCATTTGAGTAGAATAGACAGTGGAATAACCACGCGGAGGCTTTATGAAAATAATTTTTTAATTTTTGATTTGAATTTGTTTTTCCTGTATCTTTCCAGTTGGGAAATTCGATCTTCTCGGTAGAATTGATTTTACGCAACCGGGACCAGCCTCGACATCTTGTGTACTGGCACTCTCGCTAAGTGGAACTGCGGTATGAATAAGTTAGAAAATTCAATTTTCAGTACATCCATTCCTACCCTCCGCGGGCCGTAATCACGTTGTCGAAACGGGCTCTGTACTTCGTCGAAGCTCAGGGAGAAGAGACCCCATGGTGGTGCTGCTGGGTAGGTTCCTACTGCATAGCTGAGGGTTGAAATCGATACCGTTTCCAGGGTAACCGTGGGTACGGTGCCCGACACATGAGCGAAGCACGGGCCAAGGCTACCTACTCATGCATTTTCATGCCTCTGCCAAAAAAGGTGGCTTATTCGCTAAATGTCAAAGAAAAGACGATACAGAGCGAAGGAGAAATAATAAAAGGGAAATGAGAAACAGAAGAAACAATTGGCGAAACACGACCTCCATTCCCTGTCAAAGTGAACGCGACAAACTCGGAAAACGAATATCTTCACAGGCCGGCAATCCTGATGAGATTCAACGGGCTGAGGGCATTTAAACTGTTACAGAGAAAAAGTGACTGAGAAAACATTTTATCAGGTAACTCGTTAGGAATTTCGAAAATATTATCAAGACCAAAAGCTTATCTCGTTTTCCCATTAGTAAATCCTCGTGTATTTGACAACCGCTAATTAGAGGAAAAGCAAATTGGCAAAGAACTTGAGGGAGCAAGAACTTGGTAGAAAAAAATATAATCTACCACTTTGGAAAATTTAAGACTTTCCGTCGAGCTAAGAGATATTTTTGGAGGATGATCGATAGTCGTTCCACCAAGGGGTACCTTTGTCAGAGAACATCTGCGAAAACAGAGTATTCCATAATCACTGTGCATCGACGTTTTTCTTCTTGATGATTCTCCTGCCAATCGATCCTTTCCTGTTGTGTTCCTCCTTTATTTTTTTCCTGCCAGATTCCCTTCGTCCTCCACTTGGAGTCTCAAACTTTCAGCGAGCACCAGCGGTTCTGCGATGACGTCTTTAAATAAATTGAGCACGTTCTCCCTTGTTACCACTGTGTGGGGTTATAACGATGCAAAAATTCAAATGCACAAACGTCCCTCTGGATTTTCCAACTGTAACCTCTACTAGACAGTTACGCTGTCCAATTGTCCTTACTGTTCACACTTGTTCTCAACAATGTGTTGTATACATCTGTCGCTGTCACGTGGCAAGTACAATTACACGTCGTATCTCAGTACTTTGAATTTCTGTTAAAAACGTAAAAAAAAAGGTTTTTTCTCTGATCTAAATTCTAAGGTAAATATGGACGCAGCAACGTAGATACAACGCTTCACGCAGCTTCTGAAATTCCATCGGTGCCCCTTAAACATAACGTTCGGCCCAAGTATCTACAGGTTGTTGATTTTACCGTGGGTGGTCCTCTGGCTTAGGAAGATTCGAGACTCCGGTGCATTCTAGGCACTCTGGTCGCCTCTCATCGATTCATAGGGGTTTGTCTCGCCACCTAGTCATTCGTTGGAGTTTGACAATCGAAAACCGATAGCCAGGAGGAAGTTACATTTCCTACGGGAATGAAATTTACTATGAAATTCCAAAACGAACGACAGTTGACACGTACAGGGATCGTCATTTTGTACTGTATGTTGGATGAGTAAACAATTGTGCATTAAAGTGGTAGTCGTACCGAAGCAGCCGTGTAACTCGATTTTTATGATGCTATTGAACCGTCTCAAGCATGATCAATGATATTATTTTGTTTATCTGCGTGTAGGAATTTTAGTCTCCGTATTATTACACAATACAGCTCTCTGGGCCTGCATACACATACGCACATGCGCAATAAGAGTTTCTGAAAAGTTGTAAATTAGTAAGAAACAATGAAAAAGAAAGACAACTGCGATTGACAAACGAGATCCCTTCTAGGCAGTTGCACACGATAGATAAAATATATGATTGATAGTAGCTAGAAGAGATAGAAGACATAAAATGCATTAGGTGTCTAGAAAGTTCTTGTAATTGGTATACCGATTTCAGTAGCATATACCTGAGGAGGATGGCAATAAGGTCAAGCGGTAGCATCTCAGGCGTCTAACCACCAAAGACGCACTTGTGCATTAGCGAATTCCTCAAATAGCAGAAGCGTATAGGGTGAGAAGTAATAGCGCGTGCGAAATTTCCAGACAATAAGAAGACTGCACGTTCTCGCGTGTGCGTTTTGAAATCGGCGTGTTCCCGCCACGTTATCGACTTGCTCGAGTGCGCACGCGCAGATGAACAGTTGTGCGGCTCCCCACCCGATCATATAAACTTAAAGGTTCCCATTGGTTGGCTGCTCCCTGGCGTAGTATTTCCTAGTGGTCGCCATCTTGGATCTTTCCTGACGACCAAGCAACTCCACAGCGACCCACCCAGCGGCACAGCAGTACTGCGGTGGTCCTGACCAGTGACCGATTGTTTCGCTAGATCAGTTTTATCTTTGGTGGATTTTAAACGGGGACACGAGCGAGTGCCCCGTTCTCCCTGTATATTCCATTCCAACTTGTGAAAATATAACAACGCGCCCGCTGCTACGCGATAATTCGAAAAACCGGGCGAGAAAGTGTGGTTTGTTCTGGGAAATGAAGGGGATGTTGCTGCCCGTTCTGGGCGTTCTGCTCGTATGCCGGGCACAGGTGAGTGCGGTAAACGAGTAAAAAGTATTATCCTATCGGTTATTGATCACTGGCCGGCCAAGACTACTTTTTTTACTTGCGTGTCTTGCTATTTTTTTACTTTCTTTCATAATCACTGTCCGTAGCATCTCCATTTATTACATTTAACAATGTTATGCCTTTTGGACACAAGGATGTTGTATTTCGTATCAATTTTTCCTACGAGTTTAAAATTTGTATGAGGTCTGGCAAGAATTGCTTTTTTTTTTAAAACAATTAATTAGTAGTTTATTCATAAACGTGAATAAGATTGCGAAGAATCGATTGACTTAGTGTCCATTGTATTACGTGGTGCTATTCGGGTGGACTTGTCACTCGGAGTGTCATCAAGTTTTCTTTAGCCATAACAAAGGATTCCGTGTCGATACGTTTTACTCAATTGGTACGTATCGCCAAGTGGCACTGTACCCCCACGTCAATACTGGTTAGACTATTTTATTGTGTGAATACACCTGCGAAAATGGGAACATCATTGAAGCATCATGAGATATTTGAGATTCAATTGACGGTATTGCTGAAGGGGGCATGCAATGTGTAGATTTTGCCAAGGGTCCGTTGTGATGGCGCTCGAAATTGAACCTACGACCAATTGAGTTATGATCGTAGGAAGGGTTCTTCGTACGACCGATTGTCAGTCGTAATTTCATTAAATAATTGCGCAATGTACCTTGTGACACAGTTACCTGGAAGATTTCGGTGAAATAATCGATCTGCCATGATAAACCCGGCTAAACGAGACACTCTGGGAAAATAATGGAAATTAATTGGAATTCTTGAGGTGCAGTGAACGGAATGGGTCCTGAATACGAATTAAAGAGACTGTGTGAAACTGAATCCAATTATTTTATTATTAGTATCAACACTAACACAAATCAATCCATTCTCATTGATTTTCCCTCTAGCGCAGTCCGCATGAATTCTCTTGGCAGGCTACAAGCATATATTGTCCATAAATGCCAGACAAATAGTAAAACGCCTTGTAAAAGGAATCATCATGGAATGGATTAGAGGTTTTAAATTCTCTGTTGGTCAAAACAAAACAGAAGTATGACGTACGTAGATGATATTAGAGAACTCTGTAATTATCCATGACGGATGAACTATCTGTAATTAAATACTTTGAATCACCTTGGACAGCTACTATTATTTAAAAACACCCAGTGCATTGATACTCCGTCCAGCGGCACAAGTGATCATTGAATGATAACCTCAATGCCAAGAAATTGATTCACTACACGGGGTATTCTGTCGCATTGGCATCGGGTATGATCGATACTTTGTTGGCTACCCAGTAGATACACAACTAGAATTCGCCATCTGCCACGGCAATTTAAATTGTAAATCATTCTAACGTCATCCCTCTACAATGAACCGCCGGAAATCGCACTGACAGTCAGCATCGAGCAAGGAACGTGCAGATGTCCGCGAGTGGAATACAAAAGGACGTTTTATAGGAGAAAAAAGTTCATTAGAGCCACGACATTATTCTGGACACGGGTGTAGTCCGTACTATTCATTCTGGACACCCGATGTATCGACCCCAACGTCCAAAAGAGTTCAGGTCGGATGACTTTAGGTAAAGAACTGAAATATCTGACACAGTGAAATGTTAATTCTCATACATAAAAAATCTCAGCCCACGTTTGCCTTGCGTACCCAGTGTCCAAAGTGATTTGTATTCTTTAGCCATGCTCAAGTTCGTTCTCTAAAAATTAATCAGAACTTTTGATCCACTCCGTGACTCGAGTCGTAAACATTTGTCCGCGTGTAAATAATTGGAGGCAGTATCGATTCTCCTAGAGTGGAACAGCCTGACCGAATACGAGAAGTCGTAGCTGACTCTGGGATAATTGACTGATATCTGGAGAAGCTACGAATACTCTGTAGCACGTGCACTCGGAGCTTCGGACTGTTTGAAAGTGGAGTACAAGGACCCCCACGAGTTGGTGCATCATTTTTAAAATGGGTATCGTGCGACGCTCCTGCTAATTCGTTGAAGCCTTCGACAAGCAAGTGCTAATCATCAAAGTGTCTAAAAACATCGCTTAAGGCCTTGCGTATTGATCTCGACTCGAGCTGCACTACAGCGTGTACAGCGTGTACAGCGTGTAAAGTTTACAGCTCCTTTCAAAATCGATTCCATGGACTTTATCATGCGGAATCTTAAGTACAATGAAATATCGATAAACGAATAACGACAATACCCTGCTGCCAATGGAGAGTATCAGAGGGGGACTACGTATGAGATATAGAAAGCAGCCACGCGTCCAGCTATACACAAACGAATGCTATCGTATCCTGAGATATACCTGCATCGTGGATAGTACTCTGAGGGACGTTGTCAATGATTGAGAAGTAGCGAGGGACAAAGTAGTCTCGCGTGTGCGCGAAGCTCCTTAAGGCTGCGGTGAGATTCGCTTTAAATGCATTAACTTAATTCAGTTAGATCGAATCTTATATAAAACATAGGTAACAGGGTCAGAAGATGAGCGTACGGGGCATATTTCTTCGGAGGCTAAGAAGAAGTCTATATAAATTTTTAAACCATCGATCATCATTTTGTTTCTCACTGAATAATGTCTCTCGACCTTTGTTTCTTATCATTCCGATCTCGATGCTTTCCGAAGGCTCCGCGTCCTCCTGGTGCATTGGATAGAAACGTAGCGTGGAAAAGGAGTCGGCGCAGCATCTCCTAGCAGAGGTGTGGCTGCTCGCTATGAGCGCCGTCCGATTGCATCACGTTGCAATTTATGTCAGGGGCTCCTCCGCGCTTATGCATACCTCTTGCATCCAGGATGACGACGTCTGCTATGAATTGAACGTTCCGCTCTGTTTGAGAGCCTGGAGAGACTCATCCGCTTGCTCGTGCTACGAGACAGATTCTTACGGACGGCACTGTGTCTCAGGAGATCTTCCCCCAGGGTAGAATACCTGGGATAAAATAAAGGTATCCCTCCCCCCGAGGATACTGTCCTTCAAGTAGCTGCTGCTCTTTCTTGTGTAATCTCTGAGTCTGGATACGAGTAGACTAACCTGTGCTGACTTCACTATCCCAAGAGCCTTAAGGCCCTTCACTCGCCTTTCTAGGGCACGATTCCAGCCTGTCAGGTTGCATCCACGGATGCGACTGATCTCACCTAGCACAAATAGCCGAGCCGAGAGAGCCGAGAGAGCCGAGAGAGTCAGCACTCGAGTAGAATAGTGAAGGATATTTTTATTTTCGGTGAACACGCTCGAGGGAGGAGCCTCTCCGAGTTCTCGTTTGGAGAGAGAGAGAGAGAGAGAGAGAGAGACAGTGGTGCGAGTGAATGAGAGAATAAGAGAATACTCGAGCGTGACTAGCCTCTCCGAGTTCTCGTTTGGACGAGAGAGCCGAGAGAGTCAGCACTCGAGTAGAATAGTGAAGGATATTTTTATTTTCGGTGAACACGCTCGAGGGAGGAGCCTCTCCGAGTTCTCGTTTGGAGAGAGAGAGAGAGAGAGAGAGAGAGAGACAGTGGTGCGAGTGAATGAGAGAATAAGAGAATACTCGAGCGTGACTAATAAGCCTATAAAAGATCCTAACCTTAACAGCGCAAACCGATCCACTTCAGCCTCGTGGAGAGTAAGCACTGCTGATTGTTTTTCTGGTCCTACGTACTCGGCCACGTCTAGCTGGCATAGGTATAACACACTGCACTTCAGATTCTTCGTAAGCCCTACAGCGTCGCCTGTAATCAAGTAGCCCAGATAATTAATGAAGATCACGGATAGAGAAGTCCCAGTCGGAATGTTGACGGATATCGAGAAATCAAATCAAATCGAGGTATTCTCGGTTGAGATGCAACATGAATTCCTCGTAAGGAACGGTCGAGAAGGAAGTCGAAGATGCCATATCGGATGATCGCATACGTAACAGCGTCGAGCGTCGAGCGTCGAGCGTCGAGCGTCGAGCGCCGAGCGTCGACACCGGACACGGTTCGGGTTCTGCATCAGCAAACAGGCAGCCTATTTCGCACTTATATTCTCACCACGATTTTAATAACCTTGAGTCGGGATCTGCCAATGTTATAACACGAGGTAACTTTACGAGCTCAGCAGGCCCAGTCGAATGATAATCGGTTAATCCCATCTTTTTACTTACATTTTTTCTTCCAAGTCTGAGTCGTCATTTTTGCCTTTTATCATTGCTCCGTTTGCTCGTTTTAAATATATATTCGTTTCTCGGTTTGTTCCCAGATAGAGTGCGTCTGTTAGACTCGTCGTCAGAATAGTCAGAATAGTCAGAATAGTCAGAATAGTCAGAATAGTACAATCAGCTGTCACTGGCAGCCAGAAAAAGTAGTCTACTGTCGTCTGCGTTATTAGGTACTCGGTGCGAGAATTAGCACGAGGACGGCTGTCGGAATTGTGTGAATGAACTTTAGCCGGAAATTGGCAAAAGGACCTTGTGCTGGCTTGCAATGACTCTGAGTGCTAATAGTCTGGGTAGTATTAAGCGACTTTCACACTGGCTGAATCGTACTTTGGAAAGCTCCGAGGGGGATCTCTTTGAGGACTTGTTGACGACAGTCGACTCGTTCGGAAATCGATAATTTCCTTGATTTTCTCCAGACTTTTAGTTTCTGCTTCAATTCCTTCCTTTTTCGCGTGTTCTTCACCTTTCATATTTTATTTTACATGCTAACTCAGTAATTCTTTTTAACATTGTGAAAAAAGGATAAAAGGGATGCTGGAATAATGTAAAATTATTTTATGAAATTTATGTCCGAATTGTGACTCTTTTTTGCGTACGTTTGAGATAATCGAAAGATTCCAGGCCCTTCTGAAAAGTTAAGGAAAATCAGAACGTATACTAAGAGAGATAGAGAGATAGAGAGAGAGAGTGAGAGAGAGATAAAAATAAAGATAAAGGAAGACTGAGATGAAGAAATCGTGCCCTCTGGAAATCTGCCTCTTATCGAATCTGAGGACGAATCATTCGTATGGAAAATTGCGCCCCTATGAAAAATCGCTAACCAAACACTCCAATATTTCTTTTCGCTTTCATCCCTCCGAGATCCTCGTTAAACTATAGGCGAAGCGTGAAAAGACAACGATTCTCTCGTCAGAGTAGCAAAGAAGGACCGTGGAACTCCTCGAGAATTCATGAAGGTCCCAGATATATCCTTAAGGTGGCAGGACGACAAGTAGCCACACAGGAGTAGGGTGAGCGCTACGAGAGAGAGAGAGAGAGAGAGAGAGAGAGAGAGAGAGAGAGAGAGAGAGAGAGAAGGCCCTGGAGAGGAATAAAGAAAGAAGGGCGGCGGAGGAGAGTTCGAGTCGAGGAAACCCGTCGCACCCTCACTACGCCCTTGGCACCCTGGCGAATCAGCTTAAATTCCCGACTAACGTAGACGCAGGGGCGTCGACCTAGACGACGTTGAAAGGGTGGAAGGGCGGAAGGGAGGGGCAGGGGAGAAACCCAGTGGGCGCACGAAGAAAATAAAAGAGAGTCACTTGAGGAGGGCTGGGGGGATATTTGCGGCGTTTAGGGGTTGTTTCATCTCCGTACAGAAAGGTCACTCGAAGAAGATCCCACGCCACTGGATTATCCATGCACTCGTGCGAAAGCGTGTACACACGGGGTTCTCCTTGTCCTTTGGGTCCTTTGTGGAGAAATCAATAAGGGTCGGCGTGACGTTACACCCCCC